GTTTAGGAAAGGTCGAGGAGCTATTGAAAATGTAGTATACCTATCAACAATAATATATAAAGCATTTACAAGTGGACATAAGGTTATTGTGGTATTTTTGGATATATCGGCAGCTTATGATAATGTTGTTATCCCAATTTTAATAAACTACTTACATGAATTGAATATTAATAGAAGAATCATTAGATTTATTCACAATATTCTTACAAACAGACTTGTTTATGTTAAATCCCCTAATACCGGAGAAGTTATAGGACCTAGGTATACAAACAAGGGACTCCTTCAGGGATCTCCACTTAGCCCGGTTTTATTTAATTTATACATGTGTGCTATAAATGATCTTTTTCCAGAAAATGAGGATGTACAACTATTGAAATATGCTGATGATTTAACTTTATTGATACAAACATCTAATATAGCAGAGGGTATTCGGAAAATACAAAACAAATTCACGAGAATTGCTATGTGGCTTAACCACCACGGGCTTGACATTTCAATCAGCAAAACAAAAGCAATGATTTTTTCCAAAGGACCAATTAGAAACTTACAAACTATAATCAAGCTTAATAATGAAGAAATAGAGTGGGTTCCGGAGTATAAATATTTAGGTATAATATTTGACAGTCACCTTAGATGGACATCACAGATAAATAACAGCATAAATAAAGCTCAAAAGGGTTTAAACATCATGAGATCGCTTACAAGAGTTTGGTGGGGATCAGATCCAAAAGTATTACTGATGATTTATAGAGGAATTGTTCTATCCTATCTAGAATATGGTATATTGTGCATTTTTAAAACATCAAAAGCAAACTGGAATAAGATAAATAATATTCAATACCAGGCTTTAAGGATAATTACAGGATGTATGAGATCCACACCCATCAGAGCTTTGTTGTCAGAAACAGGGGAAATGCCATTGGACCTTCGCAGGATTTGGTTAGCTGCTAAATTTTCATCTAAAATAATAGCCCTAAACACTGATAAGATAAAACAACAATTATTCCACTTTTATCAAATCTATAATGAGAATCCTCCTTATTGGCGAAGAAAACCAACACCAGCCATAATGGAGGGATTTGATAATATGCTTCAATATCATGACATATGACATAATGTTTAAATATACAAAATTGCCATGTTATAACTTCCCATATGATATTCAAACTAAAAGAATTCAGTTCACAAAAACAAACTTGTCAAAGAACAGTAATAACAGTGAAGAATTTAATTACATTGCTAAAACTGAACTGGATGGCTTTAATATAGCATTTACGGATGCTTCAGTGGATCCTCAAAATTTGGCATGTGGTATAGGGATATATTGTAAAGAAAATAACACAAACATATATAGAAGACTAAGGGACAAGACACCAATTTGCACAGCAGAAACGTTAGCTATTCGGGAAGCAGTAAGAAACATTGGAGTACATACCAAAGGTTTAGCTATAGTATCAGACTCATTGAGTGCACTACAGGCTATTGAGAGGATGGGAATATGCAGAGAAAGTGACTATATTACTCTGAGTACAAGACATGAACTTTTGAATGCTAATAGCAATATAAAACTAATGTGGATACCGTCACATACGGGTATAGGTGGAAACGATATTGCTGACAGTCTGGCGTTGAAGGGAAGAAGTTTGGCAAATATAAGTCAGCAAAATACCATTCAAGGCACTCGACTCTCTTTACTGATTAAGGAGCATTTGTGGCAAAGGTGGACTGAACTATATCAAGAGTGGTCCCAGGTGTGTAGAGCGTATTATTCTGACATCCAATCTATACCTCAGAAAGTACCATGGTTCCATAAAATAAAGTATGTGTCCAGAAAAAGTATAACATTGACATGTAGAATGAGAACTAATCATTGTCTAATTCCCGAACACCTATTCAAAATGAAGATAAAGGATAATCTAGATTGTGAATGTGGAAGTAAAGGAAATTTACATCACTGGTCTAGGACTCGAGCTCACAAAATTCAAGGAAGAAGAAGAAGGGCAATTCAACGACCTGTCAAATAGAAATTCAAAATGGAGGCCAATGCCATATACACTACGTTTTATTGCGATTTTTGATTTGTGTAAAGTAGTAAAAAGTCGATTTCTTAAAAAATGCATACGTTATGTATTGTACTTAGGGCGGGTATTATAAAACTGCTTTGACAGTTAACTTGAAGTTAACTTTTTGAATTACATGTATTTTCAGAAGTTTACTTTAAGTTAACTCTCAAAGTAGTTTTATAATACCCTCCCTTAGTTGTGGGAGCCGTTCTAATCGCGAGAAAGTCTTGTTTCGTGCCGTTCCTGCAGAGACAAAACACAAATTTTTAACGGAGAAAAACGATTTGTTTTTACTTTGTAGTGCTTCATGGATTCTAGCAAAAGAGAAAAAAACCTGACGAAATTCATATTGAAAAACCAAAAAGTCTCTCCACATAAACGGTGTATGGATCCAAGCCATTTACTATCCTCATCTTGTGTCAATACCTTGAAAAGCAGACAAATAAAATAAACATCAGGATTCAAGATTTGGTTGAGAAAAAACTAAACAGGAAACAAATCCTCTGGATAGTACCTACCTTATTGTTTAGTAGGAATAGGTTTGTCACAAAGAAATCATTTCTTTTGGTAGTACCTAATTGCGAGAGTCCGGGTTTTCCACTAATAACTTCTTGAAATAAAAACTCTCCATCTTAAAATAAGAATATTATCCTTCCGAGCACTAAAAAATCTCCTTGAGGCTTGAAACACCACAAAAAACAGTGTTTTGATAAAAAAAATGTCACGGTTGTTTGAATTAAATTTATGGCGCCAATAGACCTATTTATTTTTACCGAGCCGCTTTCCAGCAGTGAGTATGCACATTGGCGCGCTCTAGAGCACCTCGGGGGCGCCACGCACTAGATTTGTACCGTTCCAGTATCATGGCGTGAGACGCCTGTCTTAGTGTCAAATTTTAAAAATAATTATCTGTTTGTTTGTGAAGTTTGTTTTTTTATTTATCAAAAATGAAAGAGAATCAAAACTATATATTTTAAAATGTTCAATCTTGATATATAACAAGAAATAAATAGATAAATAGCCACCCGCGGATGTGACAGCTGATAGGTTGACGCGTACGGACAGCTCGGGGGCTCAACGCCCCGAGTAGCTCCGGGCGTCACACTCCCATTCCCTGCGTTTTTATTCTCATCAAATTTTACCGATGGATCCACCATTCTATGGCCGTCATCGTCATTTTCCATTCACTAAACAAAGATAGCTAACTCATCGGTGAAGTCACCGATGAGAATAAAAACGAGGGAATACTGGAAAGCGGCTCTGGTATGCGCTCGCAGCACAAGCAATGCCTTTTTATTGACTAACTAGTACAGGTGTGAGGTGTTCGTTTTTCACGCTGGGTATCTCCTTGTCCTTGTTCATTGCCCGTGGTCTGACAAGAATAAAAAAAACTACGGTTGATACCTTGATACTCAACTTGACATAGCTTGACAAGTGACATTCACTAGTTGTTTGGTTTGAAATTTTCATTGACAAATACGTTACACAACACGCGGTCTTTCTCCTTCCTCTTTTATCCCATGCAAATAAGCAGGACGGATTGCTATACGTAAGTCTAACATAATTTGGTACGTTTTGCCTCGTCTTGCGCAATGAGCGTTCTGTGTCTTTTTTTTATCTACTAAAGTTTTCGTATAATTACATCTTTGTCTGGTAAAATAGATAGGTCTATTTCATTGCTTGTCACCTGGCATCGGCCGCCATTTTGATTGGATTGCCCTATAATTAAAATAATCTTTGAATAAAATTAAAAATTTTAAGTTTTGTATTTTGTTGCTGAAAATGCTACCAATAATTTACGAAATTTTACAAGCGAGACGTAACATCGTTTTCAAACCTCGAAGGTCTGCCATTTCAGCCGCAGGAGTGTGTTCGAAATCGCCTTAGGCGTGACACCGAGTGCACACCAGCCATGAATTAATTAATGGATGGTGTGACGCCCAGGGTGATTTCGAACGCACTCCAGACTTCAACTTTTGGCGTAAAATGCGTTAGTCGAGTTTAAAACAGTATAGATCAAAAAAACGAATTCGTAAACGTTATAATCTTGTTAAAATCACCTTTTCCATATTTAAAATCGACAAAAAAACAAGCACAACTTGAATCGCAAGCATCCCATCGAGGCCTGCGGGAGACGTCACCACTATAAGCTGCTATGCTACTTATAACCGTGACGTCACTCGCAGGCCCTGCCTAATCAAGATTCGAGAATTGACGAAGGTACGACTTACGAGGATGAACAATCTGGTTAGTTTACGATTCTTGGTCGATTTTACCGTGCGTTCGGTATTTTGGTCTCAGTTCTCCGAGCTTTAATTTACCGTTCGTTTATTTAAAAAGTGTACTCGGTGCAGGCTCATTCGCGTTCGTTTATTTAAAATTTCGGGCACTCTGACTCTGATAAAGCGTTCTACTGCTCTGTTCGCTCGCTGGTCACGTGATTACGGCCCCGTTCAGCACGCTCTGCTCTTTGAGCAAAATACCTATCGCAAGGTATGTTCTAGGAACCTCGGAGGTACCGACAGAATTTGACGTTTGAAGTCGGTAAAGAGCGACCGAAAAATCTTTTGAGAATCGCCTTTCTACGAGTGAGTCGGGACGTTCGTATGCAACGGCCCCGTTCGGGTCTGAAAAAAGGACGGTTCTAGAACTGTTCAAAACAATCGCACAATCTATTATTGAAATTTGTGATAGCCGAGCCGTTGTCGTACTTTTCAATTTTGTTGATTGATGAATTGTGCGATTGTTTTGAACCGTTCTAGAACCGTCTTTTTTTCAAACCCGAACAAGGCTAACATTCGCGAACAATGGGAACATGCAATCAAATAATGCACCGTGCATCACGACTCAGAACAAACGCATGGTCTGTATGCTCTATTGTGCGAGTTGCTCCGAACTACAACGAACTGTATGAATCACGCATTGCGCATTACGAATCGCGAATACATGCATAGTCTGTAGTGAGCTTTAAAGTCGCAAAACTCAAACCTCACTCAAACTACTTGCCAAACCCATTTAACCGCAAACGTCTCAACTCTTCTCGAAGGTCCCTTGTGTTTGTGAATTAGTTAATGGTGCCTCAACATCAAAAGTGAAAAGCCGAAGCGCAATCAAGCATTTTCTAGTGTTTTAGGTACATATTTGTATTTGCAGTTTTGCAATAATTTGAGGCTATTTCTATTCTTCACTGAATAATTTGTGGCTTTATTTTCACTGACCTAGGTAAAAGATGATTTTTCGAAATAATTATTCCACAATTAAAAAAACACTCCAGATCACATATTTTTTTTAATTAAAAAATAAAATAAAATAGGGTTAGTTACTGAAAACTGCATTTCTATTATTACAAAAGTGACCAACTAGGTAATTATGTGGCAAATGAAGTCAAATTAATTCAAGTTCAATAACGTAGGAAGGTATTATTTCATTTTTCATTTTATATTATTTTCAAGCCTATGTCCTAGTAGTGGTTTGTTTTCTTTAGTGATAAGTGGGTAATCTAATCTCTTAACTCTTTTGCAGCAAATAAAAATGGATACAAGAAAACAAATTCTAGTGAATAGTTTAATAAGCTTTTTACAAGATGAGCTAAACGGAACAGGACTTGACAAAGAAAAAAAAGAGTCACTCGAAGTTGCAATTCAATGCTTGGAAACCACATTCGAAGTTGATGGTGCTAATATTGGAGAAAAAGTGGAGCTTTTGCCATTGATTAAACTAAAACCTAAGGTGACTGAAGAGCAAATAACTGAGGCCGAAAAATGTAAAACCAGAGGAAACGATTTCATGAAGAATTCCCAATATAATGAAGCAATTGATGAATATACTAAGTACGTAACTGTCAAGTTCCTAGGTCGTCACATTAAAATTCATTATTCATAGGGGCCTGTATGGGTTTGAAAAAAGGATGGTTTTAGAACGGTTCAAAACAATCGCACAGTTTATCAATAAACAAAATGACAACGGCTCAGCTATCACAAATTTGAATAATAAACTGTGCGATTGTTTTGAACTCTTTCAGAACCGTCTTTTTTTCAAAGCCGAACAGGCCCATTGTTTCAATACCTATGTAAAAATAATTTGTTTCAACAAATTTTGTGCATGTGTACAGGAGTGATGGTAAATCTGATTGGTACCTAGTACCTAATGCCTAGTAATATTAGGAAGTTTTCAGACTTTAAGAACACCTTTTTAAAATATAACCAATAAACAATAAAATATGTGATCAGCTACCCTATAAGTACTTGCATACTTGCGATTGTCATCATACAGTTTCTTTGCATTATCTGAGCTATGTACTTTTTCATGTTTTTACAACAGAACCCAGGTCTCCAATAACAACTAACAATTCTTTTTATGTGTATGCTTATAACCTTTTTTCCTATTTTTATGTTTTCATAAATTGAGGCTACTAATAGGTCTGTTTCTGCAGAAATCACAAACTAGTCAGAGTGAATTTCATTGGTTGAAAGTAGTTTTCTGACTGATTCTGACTGTTTTTAACCAATGAAATTTGCTCTGACTGGTTTGTGATTTCTGCAGAAACATACCTAATTATCGCTTATGTGAAATTAGCCCTCAAATATTATATAAAGTTTGTCTATTTTAGGGCAATTGATTTAAACCCCAACAATGCAGTCTACTTCTGCAATAGAGCAGCTGCATACACAAGAATTATGAAAGATATTGATGCAATTACGGATTGCAATGAAGCTATCAAACTGGATCCCACATATGGCAAAGCTTATGGGCGTCTTGGGATAGCATATTCCAACTTGAACAAGCTAGAATTAGCTTTGGACGCATATCAGACAGCTTTAAGATATGATCCGACAAATGCCATGTACGAGACGAACCTAAAGGTTGCTCAAGAGAGAATTCATGCAAATCAAGGTGTGTTAAATAATTTTATTTGCAACCATATATGTAATCTTGACATTACTGACTTTTTAAAAATTTGAAAGTGACACTTTATCTGTGTCACTTCCCTCTTTGATTTCCCTCACCGACTTCCCTATTCGACTTCCCTCACCGATTTCCCTATTCGACTTCCCTCACCGATTTCCCTCACTCTAATTTATTTACCTTTGCTGGCAACAATGAGAACATGTCAGGTAAAAACGTCAAAACAGGTGAATGACATATTTTGGCATGTTTGTTTTATTTTTTTAATATTAAAAAAATTGAATGACTAATCATAATTAATGGTGTGCTTGCAAATAAAATAGTATACAAACCTCGGAGGAAAGTTTTCATTTCTGTCTCGAGGTTAATAGTCAATCTCGACGCTTCGCGTCTCGAATGACTATATAAATCTCTCGACAGTAATGAAACACTTCCCTACTCGGTATGTAATATACTATTGCTTAATTGTTTTATTATTTGTTTATAATATGGAAAATTATCAAGATAGGAATAATACAATTAATGCCAGGACTCATGTGGATAGGAATAATTGAAAAAAAAAAACACTTTTTTTAATGTAAGGCTCTTGTAATTCCCATTTAATTCTAGAGTAGATTGGATTGGCTGTATAGGTTTTTGACCTCACCGCATCCTGACCCGGTCAGATATATTGTGCTACCTCTTTACTGAAAGAATCCTGAACTAAAGTTGAATTTATAAACTTATAGTTTATCCATGAGAGGTACTTGGTATTCACATTGAAAATAAAATACACATAAATCACAAATATACAACATAAAAGAAACCCCTAGAAAGCCTAATTACTATCAACTCTGTAAGAAAAGTAGATAAACAAAAGGCCGTGTGATTGCTGCATATGCCCCACCTCATACCTGATTTCTTATGGCCTGCTGTTGGCCAGCAACTAAAAACATGATTTATTTTGAATGGCAACACGAAATTCAAGAACGGCAAAGTCAAGTTCATAAATTCAGCTCTAGGGTTTCAATGTATCCTAAAATTCTTGTAGGAACAATTTCTCAAATGTTTTCTGGCGTGCAACATGTCTGCTCTGTGAGGATAGGTCTTCTGCGACACAGCATTTCACAGTTGCAACTGTTTTGAAGCGGCAGAGTTGACACTGATGGTTGTTTGCACCAACCATTTTAAGGGAGGTTTAATGATAATCAACGTTTAAAGTGGAATATTTGCATGCAAACATTTCACTTTAAACGTTGATTATCATTAAACCTCCCTTAAAATGGTCGGTGCAAATGGCCATAAGATGTGCTAATGTTTTCAAGGTGAACTTGAAGATGTGGCCTTAGTTTAAATAAGAGTTGGCAGCTTTAGGTATTTGATATTGCTGAATGCTTACTATTTCTGTAGGGTTTTCCAAGACTAATAGATGAGGCGACTGTTGATGGAAACACAGAGCACTATATCCACATATTTGGAACAGTTATCATCTGTATATTTTAAGTTTTTTTTTCTCTTTTTTTTGTAATTTTCTGATTTTTTACGTTGTTTATTATTTATTACTAGATTTGATAATTCTTTTTTGTTTCAGATAGTACTACACCAGCATCAGATGCTAGGCAGATTCCTGATAATTTTTCTCAGTTCATGAATAATCCAAATATCATTAATATGGCGAGTCAAATTTTGAGTGACCAAAATTTCCATAGCATGTAAGTAAATTATTTACTATTGGTCACTAGTGGCTAGTAGTTTGGGAGAGTATAAAATATACAGGGCTTCAAAAGGCTATTGAAGAGTAAATTAAATTTAAAAAAAGTTCAATATACCTACATAAACCAAGTAATGTCATGTTTATTAAAGTTTGCCGCATTTTAGTATAGAGACAGGTGTCATTGGGTGATGGTAAATTCGGTCCCAGCAGGTAGCAGAATAAATTGAAAATTTTATAGCCTTTTATCAATGAGTGAATTCGGTCCCAACCATGTTCATTGCTAAGGGTTTTACAATACTTGCCTGCTTAATCGATTTCGTAGAAGAACGAAATAAGTCGTCTGCATTTCATTAAATGTGTCTCATTTCACTGTGCGATTCAATTAATTATGAATTTTTTCAAGAATGTGAACATCTTATAGCAGGTATGGTTAGTATGTAGGAATATGTCATAGGGTGATACTATACAGGGTGTCCCAAAAAGATACCGACAAACTTTAAGGGGTAGTAAGGGACATCAAAACAATCATTTTTGTTTATATAAACATATGTCTGCAAATGAGCCATTTGGGCTGTAGAGCAAAAAAACTGTTTGGTACTTTTATTCTTCGCAATAATTAAATCACTGTTCACTTATTAATTTTGCTTTATTAACTAATAAATTATGGTTTAAAATAATTGTTCAAAATGTTGACCATTTACTTCAATGCAAAGATTGCACCGTCGGGTCATTAATAGACAACTAAGTTATTTACGGCAACTAATCACAAATAATAAATTTTACGATGATCCCAAGGTAGGAATTTTCGAAATGTTTTCGATAAAGAAATGTTTTTGCATTTTAAAAATAAACAAAAGTGCTACCACAAATGTTTAGCAAATCATGCTGGTGGCCAACTAAATAAAAAACCGAGTAAAAAAGTCTTTAATTATTTGGGTATGATTTTAATAGTTTTTTTGCTCTACAGCCCAAACGGCTCATTTGAGGATACATGTTTATATGAACAAAAATGCTTGTTTTGATTTCCCTTACTACCCCCTAAAGTTTGTCGGTATCTTTTTGGGACACCCTGTATGTAATATACAATAGCTTTTTTCTAATTCAACCAATATGAGAACCGTCTTAGAACGGTAATTTCTAGTCGATCAATTCATTTGTCAAGTAAGATAAACGTTCAACTTATTGAAAAATAGGTGGGCAACTGGAAATTACTGGTTCTGGAACGGTTCTCATGTCGTAACAAGATATTATTATTTATTGAACCCCTCACAAAACAATTTACCCAGGACCGAATTTACTCGTTATTTTTGGACTAATTTTTCTTGGGACCGAATTTACCTATACCCGTGCCTGGGGTGTCTTTTATAGCCTTTATTTTGATCATTGACAACAATAGGTCAAATATAAATGCAATCAGGCACTTTTGAAATTTTAACAGTCACCCAAAAGGTACTTTAGGAAACACAGTAGGCGAGTTCCATTGGATTAACAGATAAATGAGATGTATACTTTCCACTCCCCATTATTTGGCAAAGTGCAAAAAAGTAAGGCTGCTCGTATACCACGCGATCGATACGATACCGCGACTCGACGGCGCTTTTAGAGGTCTCGGTACGTTATTTTAAATAGAAGCGCCCCCACAAAAGATATGGCGAGGCGATTGCTATGCTACCTATAAGATACTGGTCTCGCACGACTTGACCTGGTAGAGTTTTAGGAACCACGACGCCATTACAAACGTTTTTACATTTGATTTTCAAAATACCCGAATGAGCGAAGAAGCAAATAATATCAAAGTGGTTCAACTTGTTAAACAAATAAACTTTCTTCGATTTTTGTTAATTCTCATGTGAGGGTGAATCCAATAGCGGTGCGTTCGCTTTCTATTTCTGTAGTAATAATAAGCCACCATTGCATCTTCATCTTCACTGCTTGACATGTTAAACAACAATAAAGAGGTTTTTTGAAAAGTTTCACAGCCATTATGGCAGCGATGGCGTAGCCTTGCTGTACATGTCCATACGAAATTGGTCGTCAACTAATCCCTTGTTTTAAATATCGTTGCGGTATCGTAGTGCTGGTGTACGAACGGCCTAAGGCTTCTCAAACTAATACAGTGTGTCCCGCTTAAGGACTGACCACCCTTCTAAAATTTTTATTTTTCAACCGATTCAATTCATTTTTTTTTGTCTTATGTCTACTCGAATTTGGCACTTATTTGGCTCATAATTTTATTTCTGCGGCTGTACTGGTGTACAGGGTGTCCACATTTATAGGCTCAAATTTCAATAAGTACTATTAGGGATTTTTTTAGAAAAAATCTGATAGCAGATTCTTGTTTAGAATGGTCTAAAACCCAAATATACTAATTTTTGTTTCAATACGATACAGGGTGATGACAACAAATTTTCACAATTTAATGAATCAAACCGCAAAAATGTTATATTTTGAGACAACCTTACTACAAATTTTGGTTAAGGATGTTCTAAAACTATGTTGTATCAAGTTTTGTTGTTCTCAAGGTAGCAAAATATGACATTTTTCGGGTTTGGTCCTTTAAATTTTGAAAATTTGTTGTGATCACCCTGTATCAAATCGGAACAAAAATTAGTATATTTGGGTTTTAGACCATTCTACACAAGAATCTGCTATCAGATTTTTTCTGAAAAAATCCCTAATAGTATTTATTGAAATTTGAGCCTATAAATGTGAACACCCTATACACCAGTACAGCCGCAAAAATAAAATTATGGGCCAAATAGGTGCCAAATTCGAGCAGATATAAGACAAAAAAAAAATTAATTGAATCGGTTGGAAAATAAAAATTTTAGAAGGGTGGTCAGTCCTTAAGCAGGACACACTGTATGTAGAAAGAATATTTTTCTTAGTAATATTATTTTTCGTAGTTCTAGAGTTCATATGGTGTAGTGTTTATAAGCAATTTTTTCATGCATCTCAGATTCTAAGTAGGCTAACTTGGAAGGACGAATATATTCATGTTTCGGCTCTATACATGAATAACGTGTTTTATTATATTTTAGGATGTCAGGCTTAATAAACAATATGTCCGGTCCAGCTGGAGATGGAATGCCCGCAGCAGTGGAGACCATGTTGCAAGCGTAAGTTACATTTTTAGACTAGGCTACAGAAAATTCCCATCAGGTTCACATACATCAAAAATCGCTTCTTGATTAGTTTCGTTTCTGAGTGACACATTTCTATTTTGTACTTTCGTCCCCTACCTGTCAACCACAAAAAATCGTTTCTGGAGTGAGCTGTCATTTTGGCTTAAGTTGCCAGGTCGAATGATAGTTCAATTAAAAAAAATTTTCATCTAGAATATGATTCTAGAAGTTTCAAGACGATAGTATCTCCTCAGCCAAAATGCCAGCTTGTCAAATTCACAAAAAAATTCTTTCTATTATCTTGACTTTGGCTTTTTTTTCTTCACAAAACAACATAAAAGTAGTGCGTTTACGCAATTTATGTATCACATTTTGCAAATGTAGGTACTTAATGACCGATCCGTTTATGTTCTGTTTATTCACAAAAATTGAATAATTATGTAGATTATTCATATGATGCACACTAAAGTCAAGAAACAAAATTTTGAATTCCTAATTCCTGATTAAAAAAAAATAATATAAATTGAACAGCGAGGTGGGGAAAATATGAAAAAAATGTTTTCCCTAAAAACAAAAACTGATGGTTCTATTGGTTCTTGGCAATTTTTGATTCGTTATGTTTATGTAACGCCTGAGAAAAACTGTAGGGACGTTTTTCGTGGCACACCCTGTAGGTATGTAGTTATATAGTGTGACCACTCAGGGGCCCGATTCTCGTCCCTAGGGAGTAGAGCTCCCCGAGAGAACGAATGTTTTGTCCTTGTCAACGTAATCAAAAAGTCAATGAGAATAAGAAAGACAAAAAATTTGTTCTCTCGGGGAAACTCTCCTCTCCTTGAGATGAGAATCAGGCCCCAGGTCGACATGGTTCGATATTATAGAATCCCACACAGCTCCAGGAAAAAAAAAATGACATCGGTTAATTCACTGTTTTCTAAGCTTCTTGAAAAAAATAAATGGTATATTTTTATTACATTTTGGCACAAGCTGCAATTAAATATCTTTTTTGTTTCCAAGTTATTAGCAAATAACTATTTCTTTGGGAAAAATAATGCTAATTAATTGCACAGAAATGTTAAATTGAGTTTAAGTTGCCGCTATGCGGTATTTGGGAGATACTGAAGTACAACGGTTAGGTCCAAGTTTGTTAACTTAAATTTAACTTTCATTGTCATTTGAAAACTTCTACATGGAGTTTGTTTCCTCCTCGAGATTTTTCATTCCACTATTCCACTATTCCACTGCAGAAGCCAATGACATGATAAGGGTTTAAATTCAATATTTTGAAAATGCTGCCATAGCAGATTGTGATTGTCCATTTGGCTGTGAAACAGGCCGGATGCTATGTACCCCACTCCTTTATCTGATAGTAATCAGCACATTAGGAATAAAAATATGTAATACTAATAATATTCTTGCATATGTTCAGGTATTTATTGTTCCTGAGTGAAACAACGAAGATCAAATCAAGAAAGTTCTTACAATATTGTCGAAGGGGGGGCCCACCCCATAATTGATTCCTTAAGAATGGGTAAGCATAACATAAATAATAGAAGGGCGCTAAAAGTAACTCTGGAATCACCAGCTGTGGTCAGTCATTGATTAAGGATGGGTACAAACTAAAAAATAAAAAGGTCTTTATAAGCTTTGACCTAACTGCCAAAGAAAGAGACAGATACAATGTATTACAAGCCGAGCTGAAGGCACGAAAGGAGAATGATGAAAGTGTAATCTTCAGATATCAAAATCGTGTTCCACGAATAGTGACAGCAAAAAATCACAGTAGTATCCTTTAGCCACCTGGATGTCTGTTATCAGAACGTTCAAGGATTAAAATCTAAACTAGACACTCGCTGGAACAATGTTACTGCCAATTGTTACTTTGTTATTGTTCTGACGAAAACCTGGCTGACCAGCGACATAAGTGATAGCGAATTGGGTTTATTTAACTACGACATTTATCGATGCGACAGAGCTCATGACTCAAGCAGGGCCTTGAGTGGAGGAATAGTGATAGCTGTATCAAATAACCTGAGTAGTTCCTTGCTACAGTCAACAAATGATGTCGATCAAAGATTTGTTAGAGTGGGTTCAGGCTCAAACTCATTTATTCTGGCTGCTGCTTATTTGCCACCCCGGTCTCTATAATCAACAAATATCAGTGCTTTTGTGCAGCGGTGGATATGGTTATGGAGAATCATGAAGCACCCATGCCGCAGTGTGGTGATTTTACCACAGCACATACAAAAACAAAACAATCAGCAGGTTAACTCTGATGCGCATCTTTTCTGCGCACGCCGCTATTCGAGGATACCATCCTGTCATTAAACAGCAGGGGCGCAGATATTTTTATTTTATTTGTTTATTTCTGGCGGAGGTCATAGGCATGCGGTGTAGAGCGGAATTTATGCTTTAACCCTTTTCACGTGGCTCCGGTTTAACAAACCGCAACGTACCGCTCAAATTCGAGTGGTAGGTATCCATCACGTCACTTTGTAACCGGGTTAGAAAACGGTATGACATTTCTCTAACCGTTTTGTAACCAGGTTAGTTAAACCGGAGCCACGTGAAAAGAACTTTTGATTTTGGTGTATTCAAGTGTTGTCAATTATGGTGTTATCATTCTTGTATATTTAATAAAAATAACGTTGTGTCTAGAATCCCGGTACCGGTAACACATTTTTTACCGGTAGTTTTGATGACGTCATCGATATGACGCACTTGTACCGGGATTTAAATGAATCCCGGTGTTTTGACTTTATTTTTATCGTTATTTATCAGCTGATTGGTATTTTAGGTTAGTTATTAATGTTTTCGTCACTTTTTTGAAACATTTCAAACTATAAAAGTTAGTTTAAGTTCGAAATAGTCCAAATACCTTATTTAAATGAATTGCGTTCGGAAATGTCGAACAACTCATCCCAGATTAGAAGTAATCTGCAATAAGATGATAGTAAGCTAGAGTTGTTGTTTCCGAAAACCCCTGAGAATTTAAACAAATTTAAAATGATGTCACTTTATATAGCAGTTTATAATCGAATTTAATATTCATTAATTTACTTCAAACCAATATGTAACTATACTGTTTAGGATGTAAATTAAAATAAATATCTCTCATTTTTTATTTATAAGTTTGCAATCACAACAATACAACATTTTGGGTATTTTACACAAACTGGCAAATTTCACATGTCAAAGTCTCTTCAACTTCTTCATAACTTTTAAATGTTTGTCCTACAGTAAAAATCATGTTAAAATAAGTGATTTCACGTTGATAAACTCACGAAAACACTCCAATTTACGTTCACACATTGACAAAACAAGTTAAAAACATAAAAAGTTAGGTTAAGTTGGACTTTGATAAAACAGAAACCGCCAACGAGTAGATTTTTTACCGGGATATGCTTAAATCCCGAGTACCTAGTACGTCATATGGGTGACGGCATCAAAACTAGCGGTAAAAAATGTGTTACCGGTACCGGGATTCTAGACACAGTGTAAAAATAATAAATTAGTAATTATAAATATAATTATATATAATAAGTAACAGGTAATAATAAATAATTTTTTTCTGCACTGGTTCTACCAATAAAATTCGCTATAAAAGAGGATGCTGCTGCTTTAATTTTTGCTGGTCCAAAAGTTCATAAAAGTTATTTGAGAAAGGCATTTTGCCTCCCAGAACCGCAAACCCTTCTTAATGGAATACGTTCCATTCCAATAAGTCCAGGTCTTTGCAATCCACAATTTTTCGAAATGATAAAAGCGAAAATTGATTGCTTCAAAGAGAAAAACAAATGTTGCTTCTTATGCATTGACGAAATGACCCTTAAAGGTTATTTATTTTACAATAGGGCTTCTGATAGTGTTATTGGTCTTGCCCAAAACAATAAAGGGAAAAATTTCTTTAAACCTGCTTTGTCCAGTTTTGTTGTAATGGTTAGAGGTATCTGCTACAAATGGAAGCAACCACTGGCTTTCTATTTCAGTCATATTACAACAAAATGAAACTCTGCAGGATTTCAATGTGACATATATCAAAAATGGAAAAAATGGTAACAAAACCATATTTGGAGAATGCTCAGGTTCCTCGTTGAAGCATCTGCTACATTTGGAAAAGATTTATATTTCTTGGGAACGCTATCCAGTCTATGAGGATCTATCCGTCCCACGCTGCTTTCACTGCCAAGGTTTTTATCATATGAAGCAAGACTGTACAAATAAACTTGCCTGTCCGCTTTGTAGTGAAGAACATGAATATAGAGACTGTCCAAAACAAAACCAAATGTGTGTAAACTGCTGCCATTCTAATAATAAATACAAAACAAACCATGATGTTAATCACGAAGCAAATAACACCCAGTGTCCCACGTTACAATTTCATATTGATTTATTAAAGAATAAAATTGATTATTCTTCATAATGGTTTTAAACGATCAAGATATTATACTAGACAACCTAGAACAATTAGATCAAGATCATCGTGGTGACTATATCCATCCTGGAAAATGTGAAACTCTTCTAGCATCTTCGGATAAATGTTTAAATATTATGCATTTTAATATACGGAGTGCAAATAAAAATTTCGATAATTTCATTACTCTGGTTGAGGCGTACAAGCTGATGAACTGTGACATCTTTGTGTTGGGTGAGTGCTTCCAGGGAGTAGCTTCTGAGAACCTCAATATTCCTGGTTTCGTGACAGTTCATAGCGGCGGAAGTTTCAATAGAAATGATGGAGTATTAATTCTTATTAAAAACAGTTTAACTTTTAATGTATTGAATCAAAAACTTGATATGTGTGGTGTGACCCTATGTATTACATGTATAGAGATATATGGTATGTATTTTAGAATTATTGCTTTGTATAGACCCAATCCAAGTAACTTGATCTCATTCATTGACGAAATTGATATATACCTGGAAAATTCCAAGCAGCTAAATGAGGTCGCAATATTTATAGGAGACATAAACGTGAATCTTTTAAATGACAGTAATGTTAGTGTCAATAGATATTTATCGGTACTAGCCAAACATGGTTTTTTACCCTATATTTTAAACCCTACTCGTATTACACTAGAAAGTCAGTCATGTTTAGACCATATATTTTTAAAAAAATCAACCAAGTTCCAAAATTTAAACTTTAACTCGTACATTGTGGAATGTGACTTTACAGAATGAGTATACATTTAAAATCTAGAACCAATTCTCTTTCGGAGAACCTCATTAAAAAGCATATAAAAATAAATAATAGAGCACTAAAAACATTTTTGAAAAATGAAAATTGGGACCATATATTGAGCATTGATGACCCACAATTAGCCACCAATAAATTCTCAAATACTTTCAGTAGTTTTGTAGATAGAGCAAAAATTGAAAAAATATTTACCAAAAAGAAAAAAAAGATAAAGCCATGGATAAGCGAGGGCCTGATCATATCAATAAAAAATAGAGACAAAATGAAAAAAATATTGACTCGACATTATTCCCATGCACTAGAGCAGCAATATAAAACATACAGAAACGAGTTAAATAGGCTCATAAAAAAAGCAAAAAATGACTTCTATCTAAATCAGATTCAAAATAATAAACACGATCTTAAAAAAAATTTACCGAATAATTTCAGAAGCTACAAATGAGAAAACTCGCTCAGAAAATTCATTGCACCTCATTAATGATGAGGGTCTCCTTTTAACAGACAATAATCAGGTGGCAAATCACTGTAATAATTACTTTATTAATGTTGGGTTGAATATGTCAAAAAAAATTGAACCTCCAGTGAACTTTTCTGAGAGACACATTTCAAACGCAGATTCGATGTTTTTGAATCCTGTAACAGAGAATGAAATAATAAAACAAATATCCACGTTAAAAAACTCCGGTGCTCCTGGTATTGACGGAATTACTACTGAAATGATAAAGGATAATCATCAATATATTCTAAAGCCCCTCGTTCATATAATTAATCTAATTTTTACTAAAGGAATTGTTCCAACACAGTTTAAAACTTCTATCGTAACCCCCTATTCATAAGGCTGGTGATAAAAAAAAGATTAGTAACTATAGGCCAATAAGTGTGATAAGCAATTTTGGAAAAATTTTTGAGAAGTGCCTAAAAGTCCGTCTGGTATCATTTTTGAATAGGTACCAATATTTTGCACGAGTGCCAATTTGGCTTTCGCGATGGCAAATCTACAAGTGATGCCATGTATTCTGTTTTATTAGAAGTACTGGAATGTTTAGACACAAACAAGAAATGCATCTCTGTTTTCCTTGATTTGGCGAAGGCGTTCGATACTGTTAACCACGCTAGACTTATTAGTACTCTACAGCGCTCTGGGATACGTGGCTTGGTGTTGGGATGTTTTTCGGAGCTATTTGACAGATAGAATGCAGTATGTCAGGATCGGTGATGCACTTAGTAATCCAGAAAATATTAAAATAGGCGTTCCCCAGGGAACAGTCCTTGGACCCATACTCTTTTTGCTTTATATCAATTCATTGTTATCTGTTATTACTGACGTAAAAATTGTTGCATACGCAGACGATACAGTGGTAACATTTAAGGGTGCAACATGGGAGGGAAACCAGGTTGGCTGTGCAAATGGGCATGGAAAAAATTAAAAATTGGCTAAACTTCAACTATTTGTCGCTAAACGTTGATAAAAACACACTATCTTGCCTATACTCTATCAGATGCTAACAAGCCAGAGTATAATAGTATCAGTGTTCAGGGCATGGATGAGCATATCGAGGAGGTGAGTGTGAGATTAAGTACTTGGGCATAATTTTAGATAGGAATTTGAAATGGACGAGTCATGTGAACTACCTTACAAAAAGAGTGAGAAAGCTTATCTACAAATTTTATCAGATGCGTGATTTTCTTTCAGGGAGTTTACTTTTATTAATTTACAAATCTCTTGCTGAATCACTGTTTTGTTATGGCATTTTGGTTTGGGGGAGGAATGTATGGTAACGCACTGCAAAAACTGAATGTAATTCAAAACTACATATTGAAGATAATTTATAGAAAACAAAGAAGATATACTACTAGTCTGCTCTATACAGAGGAGGTATGTAATATTCGCACCTTATACTTTCATAAAAATATGTATCCATGCATTCAAAAATTTCCCTACTCAAATTCAATGTAACTCTGTGTATCAGACTCGTAGTACATCGAATGAGTTATTGTCAACTCGTAGATTTAATAAAGGTATTTCCCATAGATTCTTCATTTATACTGTCCCTAAAGCTTTCAATATATTGCCAATGGAGATCAGAAAAATCCAGAAATATAAATTATTTGCAAGGGAATCGAAAAAATATATTTTTCATAATTTGATAGCATTTGATAAAAATTTTGAATTAAGTAGTAGTAGTAGTAGTACCAACCAACCTAAGCTACTGACTTTCTGTTTTCTTTTAGGTATATTGCACATTATGTATATTATGTACACTTCACTGTATTGTAATTGTAACTATAAATTAACCATTCTTAGGTATAATAAATTTGTAATCTAGTTTATAATCTCAGCACAACACAAGTGTTAAATCACTTAGGTGCTTTTTGAAGAAAAAAAAAAAAAGATGTATTGTACTTCACATTGAATATTTATATACCCATTGTATACCTCTGTAGTGTGAAATAAATAAATAAATACAACTTGTCCAGCACAATCATTGATAGAAATTTTAACAGAGGCCGTAGAAAACTTAAAAGCCATTCAATTGAAGGTTTGCGGAATAACCACGGATATGGGATCAATTAATGTACAACTAGCCAATATTCTAGATGTGACAGGTGATGAGCCCTCATTTTATAAAGGAAATTTAAATTTATTCTACAATATTGATATTCTCCACATAATAAAAGCCATTAGAAATATGCTAAGTAAGTATGATTTTTATGATGAAGTGAGATATGCAACACAAATATTTTTTAGTATAAGCGTATCGGCAAGCATGAACTTTATATATTAGATTCGGTTACCTTCCATCTGAAGCACTTTTCGCAGAATCCTTCGTAGAGAGAATGGATAAATTGTTTGACATTCTTAACTCGTCAAAGACTACAGCAGAATAAAAATATAATCGAGCATATAAAGGACTCGATTACCAAGTAGACTTTTTTAGACTGTTTAGAATTTTTTGATAAATTAGAAATCTGTGTTCATTTGAATAGAAATATTGTAAAAAATATCAAATCGATCCAATGTTTAAAAATATCTATTAATAGTTTACTTGGCCTTTGGAATGAGCTTAGAGGTGTTCATCATTTTGAGTACCTTTTTACCCGAAGTCTAAACCAAGATGGGTTAGAAAATCATTTTGGCACAATTAGGCGACAAAATGGAAATTGTATTAATCCTACTCCGATACAATTTAAACCTTCGTTTAGAAAACTACAGTGCTTAAATTCATTTCATTCAGGTGCCTACCAAGAATTGTGATGCAGATGCTGATCAAATGTTGTTAAAATTGATTGACATACCTGTATGTATATGTAATCCATTACGCCAATACGACCCTACGACTCGAAAAAAAAACACTAAATTATTGTTAATCAGGCCCTTGTATCCTAAAATGTCCGCTAGTGACGTCACGACCACGAATTCCTTTATTACACGGGCTGTTACTCGAGTTAGCCTGCTGATTGTTTTTGTATACGCTTTGATTTTAACATGTCTTATTATGAATGGTTGACCGAGTATTCGGTTCCAGTCTTTAATAAGAGTGAAAGCGGTCAGCTTGGTGATGTTGTCACCTTGATGGGGGGCTCATGTACTTTCCACAATTTGTTCTAGGTTAATGGTATCTCTTATAACAAAGGTAAAACTTTGGATTTAAACTTGTCCATTGATAAGACTACTTTGGAATCTTTGAGTGATGAATCACTGGTTCTAGCTGATGGCTATCATCCTCCACTGACTTTTCAGATTAAAAATTCATAGACTTCGCAATCCTTGCAACCATCGGAGACATTAGAAATGATAACACCATTATATGGAACCTATTTAACACATAATATATATTTATCTACGTCAGTGAGTCGTGAGATACACAACTCGTAGTACGCACAGTGGTACGCACTCTTTATGCAACTCCCACACTAATCCACACACGTTCTTGAGTATCCCGTTAACTTTTGAAATCCCCATCCAATAGAACAAACGGTAAACGCTATGATTCTCACAGTTGAAGCAGCTGACGATACAAAAACAGGTGGGTTCACAGAACATTTTGAAGTTCAGGGTTAAGAACTGATTATGTACAGGGTCTGTTCTTTATAATTAGTGCGGCACAGCTTGAACAAAAAATAAAAAAAAGTAAAATACAAAAGTTATAGAATTTTATCTCTATTATCTTTTGCGAATTTCAAAATGATCTAATAAATAAATAAATAAATAACTAATAAATAAATAAACATGCTTGGACCATCAAAATCGAAGAAGTGGTTAGATTAGAACTCAAAAACAAATGAAGATATTGAATTGCGGTTTGTGCCAAAAGTTAGCTAGGTATCTCTTCCTCTACAAGCACATCAATGGCCGAGTTCGGAAAAAAGCCTCCAGAGCATATAGATGAAAATGTTGACAGTTGTTACGTGTTTAACTTACATGAAATCAATTTGAAGTCACAACTGAATCTTGGTTGAACAGCGTCCTCTAGAAGTCGCGGTAGAAAATAGCATTTATTAATTTATTTCCTGAAAGCGTAAGTTATGGATTCGATAATATTATACCTCACTGACCTTGGTGGGATACCCTGTTTAATATACTTTTTCTGATAAATGATAATATTTTTATTGCAGTGGTCAAGCGCTTGCTCAAAGAGTAGTAAACGAAGATCCAGAGTTCTACAATCGAGTAGCTAGAAATGTTCAAACTGGTGGTCAGGGTGACGGGGATGCGAATCCTTCAGCACCAAATGATTCTACTCAGAAACCCTCAGACAAGGACCAAGGATCAGCATGAAAAAAACTTAAACGTTAACGGCGACATATTATTTTTTTTTATAAGGGAAATAGTCCATGGCTTAGCAGACAGAATAAATAAAAATCGACGACAAAATGGACTATTCCCCTTATAAATATATTTCAAAAGTGAAAAAATCAACTTTAATGTATATATTTTTTTGTCTCTTTTATAAGGAGCGGATGTGTGCATAGTGGAGGCTCAACTCTTATTAAATTCTTTTGCCATCATAGGTATACAGGGATAGCCTAAAGTTTGGAAACTGCTAATTATCTCCAAAACCGCAGGTGAGATTTCCACGAAATATGGTACCTGGGGGTTATTCAACATGCCAAATGCAAAAACAGTTTCAGCGATGTTGCCAAATTTACAGCTTTTCTGAAAACTAACCTAGTCTAATACTTTTAGTTTTTTATATGTTTAACTATAGGCCGGTTTAGCCAGCTAATAGTGTATAATGCATAATTCTTAATTCTCAATTCAAAATTCATAATAGCCAATGCTTAATGCACAATTGAAACGAGTAACCCGTGTTTATAAAGCGCGTAATTATTTGTGCATAAAGGAAGTGACAGCTGGCTTTTTTGCTGTTTGTTATTATATTGTCAATATTGAAATATCAATTTCAATTCAAGATAGACAAGATACATATTGTTCTAAACTTTCATTGTCATTCATGTTTTTTCAAAAATACCTTGTCTCATATTTAGAAGTAATACGTGTAACCTGACGTATTATTATCTGTCAGAATGATGCTTCTATTTGAAGAAATCAAAGTCAAGTAAAGGAGTCATAGGCCGTAGGCTCAACGATAGTATGACGTACGCCTTCTGAGGTTTTCGTAATTATGCTTATGCTGCTCAGCATACAAGTAAAATAAGCGGGTGATCCCGGGACTTGCGCTGAAGAAGTTTGGTTAAACTAAACGGTTTTTGCAATGATAGTATAACGTATTCCGAGCATATCCATCAAAAAAGGATCCACACACGGTGCACTTGGGATCTAAGGCTCTGCGTTCGCCCTTAAGTGTCATAAAATTCCCCATTTCTCGCAGACACTTATTTTGAATTTGACATATTGAATAATCCCCAGGTACCATATGTCGTGAAATTTTCCCCTGTGGTTTTGAAGATACCTTATAAGCGGTTTAAAGACTTTTGGCTATCCATGTATAATAATATGTTATCGATCGTGATTATCCTTAACCATGTGACCTAATTGTGGCGTTATCTAACCCGGATTGGTCTATTCCCTAGCTTTGTTGGATGGCATATCTGTCCACATGCATTTGAATTTCCGGGAGTCGCCTCAGCTAGAACACATCACACGAACCCCATTACATTGAGGGGTTAGCTATCCTAATAATTATAATGATACTTGTTGATAAACTTTTAAAATTACCCATTTATCTGTTTAAATGTTTTGAAATTAATTTACTTTAAACTATCATCTTTTAATTTTAATGATAGGATATATTTTTCTTCAGGTCGATGTAATTTTATTTGGAATCCATTGCAAAAAATATTCACATGATTTGTTATAAAACTACCTAGTTATTGGTAGACACTATGTATGAAATGGAAGTTCACTTCTACGATACACTTTGAAACAAAGTGGCCATAGCATTATCGAAATTAAACATTATTGTTGAGCAACACATTGTCATGCTAAAGTCAGTTTTTTTATAAACCGTTTTTTTTTAGATATTCAGAATAAATTTTGATAAGAGACTATTACAAGTTAGAATCCTTTTATTCAACAGTCTTCGGGACTGCATAGACTTGTATGAGTTATCTGAGTTTTCAGTTATCAAGGTTAAGGGCCGCCGTTTGATAATCGAAGCTCTATTGTACTGCTTAACTGCATTGTATCCGTCATATACATAATATAAGTAATTTATGCGAAGCCCATATTTAAGATGCAGTTAACATATACACCTAAATATCCAGCCCCCAAATGGACCTTTACGGTTCATAAAAGCTATGCGTTAGAACTATATATTTATTTGTAGTATCTTGGGCGGTCACAAAAAACAAATTATTTTTTTATAGGAATATGAATTAAAAAAGGCGTCAACCATACATGATTTATTAATAAATATAATGCATATACCTACATGGGTAGTGGTTTTTAAATTTTAGTATTGTTTAAATAATTAAGGTGATAGTTCGATTTTGGGTGTTCCATGAGAAATAAAAAACACTAAATTGATATGTCTTTCATTTTGTTGGTTATAGCTCTGTTACAACATTGGTGCCAACCAACATAACAGTTCTAGAACGGCAATTTCCAGTCGATCAATTTATTTGTCAAGTAGGATAAACGTTCAACTTATTGAAAAATACGTGGGCAACTGGAAATTACTGGTTCTGGAATGGTTCTCATGTCGGTTGGAACAGAGCTAAGATATTGTCACAACCCGTATACGTTTCGTCCTGGGACGTCACAAGAGGAGTGTGACCTGGGGGCGTAGGTGGGGTTCAGGTAGAGAGAAACTTGCTTGGTATAGGTAGAATAAGATATGTATTGAATAATAATAACATTACCCTAGAAATAGTATCATGACGTCTCTTCTACCGAGGGACGTACTACTTATAGGCCACTCTGTATTATGTACACTCTGTACACTTGGCGTGACTAAAGACTGAAGCTGGATTTGAGACAGGTCCAGAAGGGCGTTTCCCAATAAAGATAGTTTGCACTGGACCTAGTCTGCTGAAAGAAAACCGCGCCTTGGCAGACACGATAGCGGATAAAGTCGATTTCCAGATTTTTACAACGCGGCGGACACCGGTGTCCGCTATTGAAAATGCCTCATAGTGAACAGAATAGAGGATAAAGTCGATTTTCGAATTTGGCAGACACCGGTGTCCACCCTGATGTAATGTGTCGGCCACGTAACGGACACCGATGTCTGCCCTGCGTGAATGTTTTTGAATGATGTTAGAGATGGTTTTGAACAATTCAATAATGACTGAATTGATGCAAAGGTCCACTCACTTCTGAACCTCCGCAGCAATTTACCCGTTCAATGAGTCATAAAATGAAATTGAATCTCATTTCTTTTATAAAAATCAATGGAATTTCTTCGGAATTCCACTTTTTTTTCTGCTAGAATTTCATGTAATTCCAGTGGAATCTCATGTAATTTCAATGAAATTTCTAGTGCTTTACTTTACTGAATTTTTGCGTGATTTCACTGAAATTCCACTTATTTTTTTTTTTTGCAATGTCATGTAATTTTTGGGAATTGCATGTAATCTATATATATAAAAATCAATGTTTGTTTGTTTGTGCCTTATGCGTTCCTACACCATTTATCCGATTACGATGAAACTTTGGTAGGATGTTATGGCCATCCCAAGGAAGGTTTGTGGATAGGTTACGCATCTCGGAAAAAGAAATTAATTTTGAATTAATTATTAATTTAACTATAAACAAACTCATTCCCATTACATAACAACATAACCCCACTTTTTTTTGACAATATGAAACAACGTTGCCACATTTCATTTATTTAGGCTTGCGCATTCAACCGACGTAACTTTATTATTTTTGGAATTCGAGAACGGCAGGACCGATCATGAATTTAATACCACGTATCTCTATACAAGCCGAATTCGATTGACCTAGATTAGATCGATTTGGGTTCAATTTAAGATACATTTATTATGTATTTAATAATTCAGAGGCGGTACGAAGTTCGCCGGGTCAGCTAGTTCCGCATAATTTCTTCAGCATTCAACATAATTTATTTGGAATTCTATATCGTACCCCCAGAATTTTTTGCGAAAATTTACAAAAATCATAAAAATTTGAGAAAATTAAAAGAGATCACAAAAATTCGAAAAAATCATAGAAATCAGGGAAATTCAAATCAAACGGAATTTCTTCGGAATTTCACTTGTTTTTGCTAGAATTTCATGTAATTTTAGTGGAATTTCATGTAATTTCGATGGAATTTTACGTTATTATTTGGAATTCCACGTATTTAATTTTATGTAATTTAACAAATTCTCTTATCGAAAAGAATCTCTGTCAAAAATCAGTAAAAAGTGAGAAAAATTCCCGGTCAAAAATTAGTAAAATTCGCGATCCAAAATTAATAAAATTCATGGTCAAAAATTAGTGAAATTCGAGTTCGAAAATGAGTAAAATTCTTCGGTAAAATATGAGTGAAATTCCCGATCAAAATTCAGTGAAAGTCTCCTGTGAAAATTGATTGAAACGTTTAAAAAGCGAGTGAAATGTTCGGTCAAAAATGAGTCGAATACTTCGGTAAAATGAGTAAAATTCCCAATCAAAATAAATAAAATTCTTCGGAGAAAAATAATCTCTTTCAACAATGAGTAAGTCTACAGTAAAAAATTCCCGGTAAAAAATTAGTAAAATTCTTTTATCGTAAAAATCTCTGTCAAAAATCAGTGAAAAGTGAGTGAAATTCCTGATCAAAAATTAATAAAACTCGCGATGAAAAATAAATAAAATTCTTGGTCAAAAATATCTATCAAAAGTCAGTAAAAAGTGAGTAAAATTCCCGGTCAAAAATTAGTAAATTTCGCGATTAAAATTAATAAAATTCGTGGTCAAAAATGAGTAAAATTCGAGGTCAAAAATGATTTAAATTCTTCGGTAAAATATGAGTAATATTCCCGGTCAAAATTCAGTAAAATTCTCTTGTGAGAGTGAGTGAGTGTAAAAAGTGAGTAAAATTTTCGGTCAAAAATGAGTCAAGTTCTTCGGTAAAATGAGTAAAATTCTTGGTCAAAATTCAAAATAAGTAAAATTCTTGAGAGAAAAATAATCTCTGTCAAAAATGAGTAAAAATTAAGGGAAATTTGCAGTCAATAATGAGTAAGTCTACAGTGAAAAAATTCCCAGTGAAAAATGAGTGAAACTCTCTCATCAAAAAAAATCTGTGTCAAAAATCAGTGAAAAGTGAGTAAAATTCCCGATCAAAAATTATTCAAATTCGCGATTTGTAATAAATAAAATTCTTTGTCAAAAATGAGTAAAATTCTTCGGTAAAATATGAATAAAATTCCCGGTCAAAAATCAGTAAAATTCTCCTGTGAAAAATGAATAAAACGAGTAAAAAATGAGTAAAATTTTTGGTCAAAAATGAGTCAAGTACTTCGGTCAAATGAGAAAATTCTCGGTCAAAATTCAAAATAAGTCAAATTCTTCGGAGAAAAATAATCTCTTTCAAAAATGAATAAAAATTGAGTGAAATTCGCAATCAAAAATGAGTAAGTCTACAGTGAAAAAATTCCCGGTAAAAAATGAGTAAAATTCTCTTATCGAAAAAAAAATCTCTGTCAAAGTCAGTAAAAATTGAGTAAAATTCCCGGTCAAAAATTAATTAAATTCGTGATCAAAATTATTAAAATTCGAGGTCAAAAATGAGTAAAATTCGAGGTCAGAAATGAGTAAAATTCTTCGGTAAAATATGAGTAAAAGTCCCAGTTTAAATTCAGTAAAATTCTCCTGTGAAAAATGATTGAAACGAGAAAAAAGTGAGTTTAATTTTCGGTCAAAAATGAGTTAAGTACTTCGATAAAATGAGTAAAATTCCCGCTCAAAATTCAAAATAAGTAAAAGTTTTCGGAGAAAAATAATCTCTGTCAAAAATTAGTAAAAATTAAGTGAAATTCGCAATCAATAATAAGTAAGTTTACAGTAAAAAAAATCCCGGTAAAAAATGGGTAAAATTCTCTTATCAAAAAAAAAATTGTCAAAAATCAGTAAAAAGTGAGTAAAATTCCCGATCAAAAATTAATAAAATTCGCGATCAAAAATAAATAAAATTCGTTGTCAAAAACTAGTAAAATTTGAGGTCAAAAATGAGTCAAGTACTTCGGTAAAATGAGTAAAATTCTCGGTCAAAATTCAAAATAAATAAAATTCTTCGGAGAAAAATTATCTCTATCAAAAATGAGTAAGGCTACAGTAAAAAAATTCCCGGTAAAAAATGAGTAAAACTTTCATATCAAAAAAATCTCTGTCAAAAATCAGTGAAGAGTGAGTTAAATTCCCGATCAAAAATTAATAAAATTCTTGGTCAAAAATCTCTGTCAAAAGTCAGTAAAAAGTGAGTAAAATTTCCGGTTAAAAATTGATAAAATTCGCGATCAAAATTAATAAAATTCGTAGTCAAAAATGAGTAAAATTCGAGGTCAAAAATGAGTAAAATTCTTCGGTAAAATATGAGTAAAATTCCCGGTCAAAATTCAGTAAAATTCTATTGTGAAAAATTATGAAAACGAGTAAAAAGTGAGTAAAATTTTCGGTCAAAAATAAGTCAAGTACTTCGGTAAAATGAGTAAAATTCTTGGTCAAAATTCAGAATAAGTAAAATTTTTGGGAGAAGAAAAATAATCTCTGTCAAAAATGAGTAAAAATTAAGCGAAATTAGCAGTCATCAATGAGTAATTCTACAGTAAAAAAATTTCCGGTAAAAAATGAGTAAAATTTTCTTATCGAAAAAAATCTCTTGTCAAAAATCAGTGAAAAGTGAGTAAAATTCCCGATCAAAAACTAACAAAATTCACAATCAAAAATAAATAAAATTCGTTGTCAAAAACGAGCAAAATTCTTCGGTAAAATATGAGTAAAATTCCCGGTCAAAATTCAGTGAAATTCTCCTGTGAAAAATGATTAAAACGTTTAAAAAGCGAGTAAAATGTTCGGTCAAAAATGAGTCAAATACTTCGGTAAAATGAGTAAAATTCCCAATCAAAATTCATAATAAATAAAATTCTTCGGGGAAAAATAATCTCTTTCAACAATGAGTAAAAATTAAGTGAAATTCGCATTCAATAATGAGTAAGTCTACACTAATAAATTCCCGGTAAAAAATGAGTAAATTTCTTTTATCGAAAAAAATCTCTTTCAAAAATCAGTGAAAACTGAGTGAAATTCGTGATGAAAAATTAATAAAATTCGCGATCAAAAATAAATAAAATTCGTTGTCAAAAATGAGTAAAATTCTTCGATAAAATATAACTAAAATTCCCGGTCAAAATTCAGTAAAATTCTCTTGTGAAAAATTATTAAAAGGAGTAAAAAGTGAGTAAAATTTTCGGTCAGAAATGAGTCAAGTACTTCGGTAAAATGAGTAAAATTCTCGGTCAAAATTCAAAATAAGTAAAATTCTTCGGAGAAAAATTATCTCTATCAAAAATTAGTAAAAATTAAGTGAAATTCGCAGTCA